TGGTCCTCTCCGAGCAGCGCTCGCGCCCTCGCACACAGCTGAGGGCTCGCATGCACTGGGAGAGCTGGGAAGAGGTAGCGGTGTTGGCTCAGGCTCCCCAGTGAGTTCTGTGATGGGAGCAAACATCCTGTTTTCTTGCCAACATATTTTGTGTTGGAAGTGGTGGCCGGTGACCTCGCTGCCTGGGGACAGCCTTGTAGGAGCTCTTGCCTGTGGTGCCGCAGTCAGTGTTGCCATCAGAAATCCTTCCGCTGGGCTGGAGGGGACGTGGGAACTGGAGTCAGACGGCTGCAGCCCCCGACTATCTGGCAGGGTTGGGATGAGCTGTGTCAGGACAGAGCCACTGAGGCTTCCAGCCTTCTGTGGCCGGTGACCTCGCTGCCTGGGGACAGCCTTGTAGGAGCTCTTGCCTGTGGTGCCGCAGTCAGTGTTGCCATCAGAAATCCTTCCGCTGGGCTGGAGGGGACGTGGGAACTGGAGTCAGACGGCTGCAGCCCCCGACTATCTGGCAGGGTTGGGATGAGCTGTGTCAGGACAGAGCCACTGAGGCTTCAAGGCTTCTGTTGCTGGTGGCAGTAGTGAGTCCTGCCTGTACATCTGGCAGCAGGTCCAGTGCTTGCGTTAAGACTCCAGTTGTCCCGTGGTAGCTCAGGACCATCGGAGGGGAGTTGTGGGATTGTTGCGTGTTGCTGTGGCTCTGACGGGGTGGTTCTCTCGCAGGTGAAGGTGACGGAGGAGTGCTCGCAGTACGAGTTCGAGAACTACATGAGGCAGCAGCTGCTCTTGGCTGAGGAGAAGAACACCTTGCATGAGGCCAAGAGCTTCCTACAGAAGCGGCAGTTTGGGAACATCCCCCCCGTGCGACGCCTGGGCCACGACGCCCAGCCCATGAACCTTTTGGACGCAGCCATCCTGGCCCAGAGGTACCTTCGGAAGTAGCTTCCCACACGTCTGAGAGCACAAGCACCATCCTGCAGTCTGCCTTTCACGTCGCCTACTACAGCTCAACAGCAATACCGGTGTCCCGTGATGGAGAATAATGTAGCAATTCTTCTGAGCTCTGTTCAGGGACACACACTCACACTCGCTCTGGAGGGAGAAGACTTTTGAAAAAGCTAGTTTTGGAAGCAGCAACTTCTTGGCATCTTCTGGAATCTGTTTTTTAAATCGAAGCCTCGATGACTAATCTGCTTTTAATCATGACTGTAATCTACCTCTCTTGTCTTTTTAACCATGCTGTTCTCTGGATCGAGCAAAGCCTGTGGGAAAGGAGAAGACTACCAAGGGTGAAGCTGGTTTGCTGGCGCAAGAGTCACGGCTGTGCAGTGTGGAGAGCCGCCTGATTGCATTTGCTCCATATGGTTTGAATAAGCTGAGATTTATCAGGGTTTCTCGAAAGGAGTAATTTCTTGAAACCTCCCCCTCCCCTTCATCTGCATCAAATCTTTTCTGTCCTTAACGTGCCACCGGGTTTGGCTGCGTTGTCTAACCCTTGGTGGCCGTGTGTGGGCTGCAGCGCGCCGAGGCCTTCATGCGCCGCCCGGTTAGCCGGTGTGACCGGGGGCTGCCTGGAGAGCCCGGCCACCGCCTCGGGCGAGAGTCGTCCTCGCGGGCGAGCGCTGCAAAGATCGGATCTTGTCTGCAGTTCAAAGGTTTTGCAGGACTTGGCCCAGCGTGGCCTCTGACCTCTTTCCCACCTTTCACTGATTCTTTTAGTTTCATAAGGATATATGATTTAATCTTATTTTTCAGTAGCTTATCTAAGGTGCAGTTAAAATTGCATTAATTCTGATTTAGCATTTTCACACTTCAGTTGTGGTACAGATATAATATATGAGTTATAATGTGAAAAAGCTTCCCAAAATAATCTGCCTAGAATTAGGAAGGGGCTGGCTGAAGTCTCTACTGTATTTGTTCCCTCGCTTATCTTGCCATCCCAGCCGCGCCGTGCAGTCCTGGGGCTGCCTCTGCCGTCCCCGCGTGGCGCTGAGGCGGGAGAAGGATGTCCCGGTTTGTCACCTAATGCCACTGGGAGAGCGTTTGCCTGTGCTGAGAACAGGAACGATTGTTTCTGAGCCTCATTTTGTGAACTGGATGCCTGTCTTGCCAGATGAACTGTTCTCGCACAGCGGACCCAGGGCTCTCGGTGCCCCAGCCAGGGCTCCTGCTCGAGGCTGCCGGTCTCCGGCTCCCTCCTTCCCCTCCT